AGATGGAACAATTGCTTGAGCCTGGGAGATTGAGGCTGCTGTAAGCTATGATCATGTTACTGCAATCCAACCTGGATGACAGAGCAAGACCTTGTTGCGAATAAATAAATAAATAAATAAATAAATAAATAAATAAGGATTTTTTTTTTTTTCTGATTTTGTATTATTTTAGAGTTGTCATCTTGCTATGTTGCCCAGGCTGGAGTGCAGTGGCTGTTCACAGTCATGATCGTAGCACCCACAGCCTTCAACTTCTGGCCTCAAGGGACACTCTCACCTCAGTCTCCCAACTAGCTGAAACTAAAGGTGTGCCACAGTTCCCAAATTAGAATTCTGCTTTTAGAGAGAACATAACCACAATAATAATGTGTGTAAAAAATTAATAATTTCTTTATATATCTTATTAGGGTTCAAATTTCCAATTATCTCCTAAATTATATTTTTATAATTTAAAAATTGGCCCACTGCCTGTTTTTCTAAGTATAGTTTTCTGGGAACAGAGCTACACTTATTTATTTGTGTATTATCTTTAGTTGCTTTCATGCTACAATGCAGAGTTCAGCAGTTGCAGCAGAAACCATATGGCTCTTAAAACCTGAAATATTTACTGTTTGACCCTTTACAGAAAGTTGGTGACCCCTGCTTTAGGCAATTATCTTTTAGAATAATTAAAAATAGGAAGAAATGTCATATTTGCCTTCATTTTAACCACTTTGGGAGGTCATTTATTTATGTAAATCCAAGTTTCCTTCTGATATCATATTCCTTCTTTCTGAAGAACTTCCTTTAGCATTTCTTGTAGAATATATTTTAGCTTTTGCTTGTCTGAAAAACGTTTTTACTTTGCCTTTGTTTTTAATAGGTATTGCTGGGTTTAGAATTCTGTGTTAATAGTTTTATTCTTTTAGCCCTCCAGAAGTGTCCCTCCATTTTCTTTTGGTTTACATAGTTTCTGGTGAGATGTCTTTCTTTATTTGTTTGTTTATATTTTGTTAGAGATGCCTATTTTTTTTTTTTTTTTTTTGAGATGGAGTCCTACCCTGTCACTTAGGCTGGAGTGCAGTGGCGTGATCTTGGCTCACTGCAACCTCCGCCTGCCGAGTTCAAGTGATTCTCCTGTCTCGGCCTCCCAAGTAGCAGGGATTACAGGCACCTGCCACCATGCCCAGCTAATTTTTATGTATTTTTAGTAGAGATGGGATTTCACCATGTTGGCCAGGCTGGTCTTGAACTCCTGAGCTCAGGTGATCTGCCTACCTGAGCCTCCCAAAATGCTGGGATTACAGGCGTGAGCCACCATGCCTGGCCTTTTATTATAATTCTTATCTTTGTTCCTATGAATGCAATGCCTTTCTCTTTGGCTACTTTCAAGATTTTCTCTTTCTTTGGTTTTCAGTAGTTTGTGTCTAGGTTTGTGGATTTTTTCATTTTGTAGTTTGGTATTCATCTTGATTGGGGTTCTCTTAAGCTTGCATCTGTCCTTTCATATCTCATTATTTTTGGAAAATTTTCAGCTATTCTTTTTTTTTTTTTTTGAGACAGAGTCTCTGGAGTTCAGTGGCATGATCTTGGGCTCTGCAAGCCTTGAACTCCTGGGCTCAGGTGATCCTCCCACCATAGCCTCCCAAGTAACTGGGACTACAGGTGTGTGCCACCACTCCTGGCTAATTTTTAAATATTTTTTTGTAGAGATGGAGTTTCACCATGTTGCCCAGGCTGGTCTGGAATTCGTGGGCTCAAGCATTCTGTCTGCCTCGGCCTTCCAAAGTGCTAGGATTACAGGCGTCAGCCACTGCAGTTGGCCTATATCTCTTCAGAGTTGTTATCTTTCTATTCTTCTGGGATTCCAATTATTTACATAATAAGACCATTTAATGTTTTCCCATAGTTCCTACATACTCTATTCTTTTATCTTTTGTTCTTTTACTCTTCTCTTTTTGTTTTAGTTTGGATAATTTTGACTGACCTAGCTCTGAAATCTTTGGTATTGAGTTAACTGATAAGGCTGGCAAAGGCATCCTTCATCTGTTACTATGTTCATGTATTTCTCGCATTGCCATCTGATTCTTACAGTTTCCATCTCTTTGCAGAAATTCATCACCATTCATGCATGTAACTTTTCTACTAGAGCCTTTTGCATATTAAACATAGTAATCTTAAATTTCTTTTCTGATAATTCTAACATCTTGGTCATCTCAGAGTCTGGTTTTGTTGATTGCTTTGTCTCATAGTGGGTTGTTTTTTCATGTGAATATGGGGGAGATAATTTGTTATTGATATTGAACGCTAGACATCATGTATACACTGCCAGAAGTGGCACACCTCTGCTACTGAGTTGTCAGTCAGTAGGGGTTAAGTCAGTCTAGTCAGGAGTTGAGCTTCATTTGTTCTTTTTTCGTTGTTGCTATGGGTACCTTCAGTGCATCACCAGCTTCAGATTCCTCTGCTGTTACCTTGTGTTTAGGGGTAGGGGTGCTATGTTGTCCCAGTGTTTTGTTTTTTGTTGTTGTTTTGTTTTGTTTTTTTTGAGACAGCGTCTCACTCTGTTACCCAGGCTGGAGTGCAATGGCGTGATCATAGCTTACTGCAGCCTTGACCTCCTGGGCTCAAGTGATCCTCCCACTTTAGCCTCCTCAGTAGCTGGGACCACAGTTGCATGCCACCATGCCCAACTAATTTTTTAAAAACATTTTTTTGTAGAGATGGGGGTCTCACTATATTACCCAGACTAGTCTCAAACTCCTGGCCTCAAGCAATTCTCCTACCTCAGCCTCCCAGTGTTGGGATTACAGGCATGAGCCACTGCACCCAGCCCCAATGTTTTTATTAATGTTCATGTTCTATACTCAGCTTCTGTCTTTGCCCTTGCATCTCATGGTGAGTCTCTTTCTAAGCTCTAGCCCTTCCTCCAGCAGTAGACTGCTGTTGTTTATTGCTCCATACTTGCTAGCCTGGTGATAGGGGCCAGGGAAAGGGGATTCTTTGTTGTCATAGTCTAGTCTCTGCCTTAGGCATACCATGTGTCCCTGGGTCTCCTGGGTGGCACTTTCTTAGTGATCCTGTCCCCCTCCTAGCTGAAGGAAACTCTTAACGGTCTGGGCCCAGGATGGTTTCTTGTCCATCCCTTAGTAGTAGAGAGCTTTTCCTTTTCCCTTTCACCAGCTTCAGTGAGTTGTTGCCTGTGTTCTGAAAGCAACTTGTTTTTGTCCAAGTGGCTTTAAGGCTCTTTCTCTCTAGGGGCTTTTTTCTAGAGAAGAGCCTGCAAGAGGGTGTGAACTCCCCTTACGTCTGTTGCTTCTAGGGGTTCTGTACTCTTGTGCTAGTCCATACTTGGACTTTAGCAATTTATTTAAAATTTTAGTTGAATTCTCACCCATCTGTGTGGTGTGGTGTGCAGCATTGTCTTCTCCTCATGCTTTGCTACCGTTGAGCCACTGCTGATGTCTCTTCGTGGAAGCACCTGGCGTTCTTTAGATTTCATCCAGGCTACTTGGTCTCCCTACAACTCAGGTCTCAGATGAATTCAGGGAAAGTTATGATAAAGTAAAGTATCTAGCCTTTTCTCATTGTTCTACTTGGGGAATGGTCTTTCCAGCTTCCTAGATCTTAGTCAGAAGTCAAATTACAGTGTTATATAGTCACTTGAAATAGGTGCTATCTTTGTGGTTGTGTGTTTATATCAGTACGTGGTAGTTTCATTGGTTTAATTTTTCTCTCAGTTTCAGGGATTGCTTCCTTCAAATTTTAATTTTGTTTCATAATTGTGTGAACTGTTTATATGATTGCAAGTCATTTATACGAACAATATGTATTGAAAAAAGCCTAGTTTCTCTCCCTGTCTGCTCTGTCCTATTCCTTTCTTTCCTCTATAGGAAACCTTAAAAAAAAATTCTATGGAATGTTTCTTATAGTTAAGAAATATGAATGTGGTTAAGAAATTTATTTTATTTCATTTTATTTATTTATTTATTTATTTATTTATGACGGAGTTTTGTTCTTGGTGCCCAGGCTGGAGTGCAATGGTGTGATCTCGGCTCACCGCAACCTTCACCTCCTGGGTTCAAGCAATTCTTCTGCCTCAGCCTCCCAAGTAGCTTGGATTACAGGCATGCGCCACCATGCCCAGCTAATTTTGTATTTTTAGTAGAGATGGGATTTCTCCATGTTGGTCAGGCTGGTCTCAAATTCCCGACCTCAGGTGATCTGCTCACCTTGGCCTCCCAAAGTGCTGGGATTACAGGCATGAGCCACCGCACCCAACCCTTTACAAATTCTGTGAACATCCTCATTCTTTCTAAAATTTCAGTATACTGTCTTGTGTTTCCTCTATCTGCAACTGTTGCCCACTAAAAATTGTGCCTACTGGTCCAAAAACTGTATGAGAAGGCATTGCCTCTATTTTCTTAGGAATTTGTAGATTCGAGTTTCGGTTGTAGTAAAATTTAGCAGATGAGTATGAATTTAAAAGTTCACATTCTTTATTCACTTTGAAAATTGTATTTGCTCTGTGATTGCCAGGTAACCTATAAAGAGTGTAATCAAGGTATATTTTGCTATTTCCCTTTTCCTCCCACTTGCCTTTATGGTTCATGTAATGCTCATTTTTAGCCAGCAGAGGCCACTAGAGCCTGCTAGGGAGCAGAAGTGCAACAGAAATGCAGGCATTCTAAGACAGTGATTGCTAAAAGGTCACTTTTTAATAACTTTACAATTATCTCAATTTTGCTAGCTTGTGCCATGTGAATATTTTATGCTAAATGTTGGTGGGCAAGAAGGTGTCTATGACATTTACTTTAGTTTTTTCATTATGTTTAATCTTTAAAGAAATAAATTTGAGAATTATTGTTAACTGCATTGTGTAATGTCTGTTGAGCTAACACCTACTTTCCTATGTAAAACCCTACAAAATACATGGTCCCAACTCTCTAGGAAATGATGATATATATGAGGAATGCTACAGTTTATTACAGGCTTACTTTTTTTCCCGTGACTCCTCTCAGTTTGCAGGCCTTTCAGATATATCCATCTCACAAGACATCCCCGTAGAAGGAGAAATCACCATTCCTATGAAATCTCGCATCCGGGAGTTTGACAGCTCCACATTAAATGAATCTGTTCGCAATACAATCGTAAGTTAGACTAGTTGAGAGAACTTCTGTTCAGTATCCTGGGACTAAGTAACTGATAGTACTTTGCAATATTTTCATTTGGTTCACTGGTTTTGAATATGTTTTATATACTGAAGTTTAATATTTTATTCTAGAGAATAATTTGGTACAGCCTTTTTGGAGAGCAGTTTGGTTATAATGCATATTAAGAATCTTAAAACCGCAAGGTGTGGTGACTCGCGCCTGTAATCTCAGCCCTTTGGGAGGCCAAGGCGGGCGGATCACCTGAGTTCAGGAGTTCAAGACCAACCTGACCCACATGGTGAAACCGCATCTCTACTAAAAATACAAAAATTAGCCGGACATGGTGGCGCACGCCTGTAATCCCAGCTGCTTGGGAGACTGAGGCAGGAGAATCGCTTGAACCTGGGAGGTGGAGGTTGCAGTGAGCGGAGATCACACCACTGTACTCTGGCCTGGGCAACAGAGCGAGACTCCGTCTCAAAAAAAAAAAAAAATCTTAAAATGTCCAAATATTTTTAAAGCAATATATTATCATACTTCTCCAAATATAGTATAAGGAAAGTTTTAAAATGTAAAACAAAAATTTTCAACATAAAAGTATCAATATACAAAGATGTTTATTATAGCATTCTTTGTAATAGGGGAAAGCTAGAAATAAATGAACCATAGATGAGGTATTGGTTAGGTAAATTATGTTATATCTTTGTGATGGGATGCTAAACAACTATTAAAAATCACGTTTACAAAGTGTTTAATAACATGGATAAAGTTCTAGGTGAAAAAACTAAAACAGAATTAGCTCAGTGGTACTTTAAGAGGTTGTATTTGTATTACTGAACCCTTCCTCCAGTTTCGTGATTTTTTTTTTAATCTGGCTTCTAGGATTTGTTTACCAATTAAATTGAGAATGTTAGAAATTTATTTCATATATTGCAAAGAATGTGGTAGCTAGAGAGCAGGCTAATTGACCCTTGAGACCTCATCTTCTATGAACTGAATGTCGCATACTGTGTTTTGTAGAGCAGCTTTTTATAGTGCAATTGTTTTAGTTTCTTCAAGCAGCCTATTGGGAGGGCTGTGTTTCTTTTTTATGGATTTGTTTTCAACATCAAAACAGAACAGATCAAAAAAGATGTGGAAAAGTGTTAAAAGTTGGCTTAAGGAGTTAATAGAAAAAGCATACCCTACCTCTCTGGTTTGTTTGTGTAGTGAAGGAGTTGAACTGGAATTATCTGCAAAATTCAATGAAGAGTTCACAGGAGATTGAAATAAAAGAAATTTTAGCAAATTAAGTAAGGCTGCTGATAACCTTGGTCATCACAATACAACAGGTTGTTTCTGTTTTTCAGATGCGTGATCTAAAAGCTGTTGGGAAAAAATTCATGCATGTTTTGTACCCAAGGAAAAGTAATACTCTTTTGAGAGATTGTAAGTATGTGAAGTTTTTAAGGGTTTGCTTAATCTATCTCACCGTGCCTTATCATAAGTACTTTATAAGGCAAAGGCTCTGTGGTAATAAAACTGACATCATTTTGTAGGATGAAAAAAATATGTAAATGATATGTAAATCAAACTTCTGGCAGAAATTAAACATTTATTTTATTTTATTTTTATTTTTATTTTTTTTTGAGACAGAGTCTCACTCTGACTCCCAGGCTGGAGTGCCGTGGTGTGATCTTGGCTCACTGCAACCTCTGCCCCCCAGGTTCAAGTAATTTTCATGCCTCAGCCTCCTGAGTAGCTGAGATTAAAGGTGCCTGCCACCACGCCCAGCTAATTTTTTTGTATTTTTAGTAGAGACAGGTTTCACCATGTTGGCCAGGCTGGTCTCCAACTCCCGACCTCAGGTGATCCACCTGCCTCAGCCTCCCAAAGTGCTAGGATTACAGGCAGAAATTAAAAATTTAGATTGGAATCTCAGAGACTGAAAGATTTTGCTTATTATATTGCCCTCATCAATAAATATACCTCATCAATAAATATACAGTGTCCAGGCATGGTGGCTCATATGTGTAATACCAGCACTTGGGAGGCTGAAGCAGGAGGATTGTTTGAACTCAGGGGTTTGAGACCAGCCTGGCCAACATGGCAAGACCTCATTTCTACTAAAAATTAAAAAACTAACCAAGCCTGATAGCGCATGCCTGTAGTCCTAGCTACTTGGGAGGCTGAGGTGGGAGGATTGCTTGAGCCCAGGAGATCAAGGCTGTAGTGAGTCATGACTGCGCCACTGCACCCTAGCCTGGGTGATAGAGCGAGACCTGTCTCAAAAAAAAAAAAAAA